CACAGTTAAAAATTCTATCTTCTACTTCAGAGTCTTTACACATGTCATTCCCCTTATTCAGTTCTTTCATCTTTTTTCAATGTCATTTTCTTGGTGAGACCTTCCCTACTTACCCAATCAAAAACTGTAATTCTATTCCCCGTTCTTCCTATCCCCTCTGCCAACTTTATTTTTCTCCTTGCTACTTAACACTAATACACCACACATCTTACTTATATTGTTTATTGTCTAGTTCCTCTACTATCCATAAGGTCAGTGATTTAGTCACTTTGCATTTCACTATATCCCCAGAGCCTAGAACAATGCCTGACACATAATATGTACTCAATAAACATTCATTATAAGTTAATATTGAAAATAGGTAATATATTATGTCCTCATAATATAGACGGACGTGAAAATATAGGGCTTATTTTAGAAATGAGGAGATTAAGACTGAAATTCCATCACTACCACCCAAGTCCTTATATAAGTCAGTACCTCTCAAGGTAACTGCCTTTCAAAATATGAATATCTATAGAGAAGTCTAGTCAGAGTAAGATTTATAAAAGTTTACTTCCAGGATGGAAAGGAAAGAAAGGTGTGGCTATTTAGTTAAGAGGGTCAAATTCCAAACCAACCTAAGCAAACTAAAATCCTGGGGTAACATCTAGATGACCTACTAGAGGAGTCAGGGTCAAGTCACCACCCTAAATGCTCAAGGATAAATAGGAATAAGCAGCAATCTGTGACAAGGTCAGAGCTAGCAAGGATCCTTCAGATCATCTTCCCTCTTTGCCTTACAATTGAGGAAACTGAGACTCAGGAGGGAAAGAACTAAGTCACCCAAGGTCAGCAGCCTAGATATCTTCATAATGGCTAAACCAGGGCTGAAATCCAAGTTGCCCAGCTCCTATATTAGCCTCACCCACCCTCCCAAGAAGATCCAGTGACCAAATAGCCATACAACAGGAGGATTTCATTTCCCTTCTGCATGTGGCAGTACCCACACAATGCCAAAAATGACTCCAAAGGAAATTCCTTAGCTGGGAGTCCTACTGAGAAGCAGAATGGATCTTGGAAAAGAACTAAATTCCTTCTGGGGTATCTTAGCCAGTGGAATGAAGCCCAGAAACCACTGCTGTTTTCTGTTTGGGGAGATTTTTTTAAATATCTATCTTTAAAGAATGAAGAGGGACTACAATGCTGCTAGAAAATAAAGTATTTGCTTTGAAATATATTGAGGAAAAGAAGGGACTCTACATATATTAAAATAGACCAGGTCTCAGCCTTGTGCTGGGTAATTAACCCTTGCCTTTAGGATTTTCCTAAAACATTTACCATCAGAGCTTAAACTCACAAAGAAAAAGCCTTTCTGGACTCAAAATGGGAAGAAGCTGTCAATTAAAAGGGAAAGGGGAAGGAAAGGAGGAGCATGTGCTCTTTATCAGGTAACACCACAGACTTTTATTTCTTATCATTGCCCTCCAAGGCAGATAGTATTGTTCCCATTTTTGATGAGGGGAAAAAATGAGGCTGAAGAGCTTAAGTAACTTGCCTAAGGCCATACAACTGGTAAGCCAGAGAGCCAGGGATCAAATGTTTCTTAACCCCAAATTTCAGGATCTTCCCTTACTTCATTCTGTACTATGACATTCAAGTTCCTTACTTTCTCTAGCCTTTGGTTCCCTATCCATGACATTAGGGCCCAATATGAAGTATCTAATATGTCTTACAGCTCTGATGGTCTATAAACTTAATCTGTTGACCTTAGTGATTTTTTTAAAATTTTATTTTATTTTATTTTATTTTATTTTATTTTATTTGTTCTCAATGCTCCTGACCCCCAGGAAGAGTTCTTCCACTGGGCTGGTCCCCAGTCCCTATGAGTTTGAGGGAAGTAGCTCAAGGCAGCACTTCTTGCTGACCCCTCACTGAGTATTTCAGCCTCCAGAACTACAATTCAGTGCCTGTAGGTCTCCTCCCAACTGGAACATCAAGGTCATTGCACAGAAACTCCACTGGGAGAGGTTTGTGATCCTGAAATATCCCTGAGGAGTTCATTTGTTACACCTAGGGTACATTCTAACAAGTCCATTATGTGGCAAGTGGCAATATGTGCAAAGAAAGAACTGTCCCAGAGAAGTCTTTGCCAAGACAGGACAAAGCTGGTGAACAAGCCTAGAACCCCCATCTATAGCAAGTATAAGGGAGACAGAGGGGCCTCCATAGGTTGTAGACATCTTCCTATAGAGCAGGACGACCTAATGCTTTAGGAAAGAGTTCTGGACTAAAAGTAAAACTAAGCCAAAACCAGTTTGGCTCAATGGATAGAGCATCGGCTTGGGGGCTGAAGGGTCCCGGGTTCGGTTCCGGTCAGGGGCATGTGCCTTGGTTGCGGGCATATCTCCAGTGGGGGGTGTGCAAGAGGCAGCTGATCAATGACTCTCTCTAATCGATGTTTCTAACTATCTCTCTCCCTTCCTCTCTGTACAAAATCAATAAAATATACTTTAAAAATATATATTAAAAGTAAAAACTAAGTCAGGGTTAGAATCCTCACTCTGACACTATCTGGCAGTGAGATCTAAGGATGTCACTTCCACATTGGAGTCACATTCTAGCAGGGAGTATAGTCATAGACAAGTAATTATAACAAAGTTTGATAAGCATCTGGCAAGTATGGTCAATTAAATAATGTAGACTTTCAGAACAATATAAAGCCAAGGTTGAAGACAGGAGCTGGAAAGATCAAGTCTCCAGGGTAGGGAGTGGGAGTAAGAAGCTGAGCTGTAGTCCTAGAGAATCCAAAGCAGGTCATTAAGGAAATCTCAGGGCTCATTATTTTGCTGACAGGTGTCAGCAAAAGCCTGTTCCTCAGAAAGCATTGTACCAGACAGCACAGGTGAGTTAGCTGGGAGTCTTATTTTAGTACAGATATTCAGACTCATGCCCAGAAATTCTGATTCTAATGGTCTGAGGAGGAGGCGGGGCACTGTTAGGTCTTTAAAAGCTCGCCAGGAGTTCTCAAGTGTAGACAAGGCTGAAAACTTTTGTAGTAAGCAAATATCCGTTAGTGCCCATTGGATCCCAGCACCCAACTCGGGGCTTGCCCGATAGAAGGTGCTCAGGATATGTGATTTGAACAAAGGAATGAATGCTATGTGACTGACGCAAAGTCACCAGCCAGTTACTAGAACTAGAGCAAGGGCAGAAATAGGACTGACATTATACTGGTTCCCTGACCAAGGAATTCCTGAGTCCTCTTGACTATGGACACATTGGCCCAGACCTTGAAGCTGGAGGGAGATAAAGCCTTATGTGGGGACCACAGAAAAGAGAAAGAGTGGATAGAATATATACAACAGTCCATTACAGATCAGGGACTGTACAGTGAATCTGAAGCACACATTAATGACTACTAAGCCTGAATGAAGATATCCCATCTTTATTAATGTATCCCATCTTTATATAAGTGGATCTCTTCCCTTCACCACTATGGTGATTATTTTCCATTAAAAAGGGGAGCAACTGGAGAGGAGATAATGGAGTCAAGTTATTAAGAGAGGTGAGCTGAACAAGGAACCTCAAAAGTGCAGGGTGGCATCTCACCTCTCATTTCTGCCTTTCCCACCCACCCCACTCTGTAGCCTTATTATCAGAAGTCTTCTCTCCTCTCACTCCAAACTATAGTGCATCCCATTTTAAATAGATGTAAGATACACATATCTATGCACTTGTATATGGGCACATCTTTGCTGCTTCCTCTCTTACTAATGACCCCTATCCCAGTTACTCTAAGTAGGTAGTTGATTTTGGGGGAAAGGGCCCATGCTTGGCCAATGTAAAACCTCTCAGTGAAGTTTTCAGCAGAGTCCAGGAGATCAGACTCCTGATCTTATGTTCCAACCATCAGAACTTCTGAGAATCAGTCAGACTTGGTCCCCTCTAAAGACCCTTTGTTATAGTGGAAATTCATTATATTTGTTTCTTAGAGATTCTACCATTCTACTTTTTAAAGCTCCCCTAAACTCTCTGCCAGTTCAAATACACTGGGTCAGATGCCCAGCTTTAGGGACTCCACCCCAAGCAATACCTCTGAGCCAGGTAGACCCCAGAATTCGCCCTGAGTGGAGGGAAGCTGGGGGCCTGAAGAAGAGAAGCAAGGGACTCTGTGGACCCAATAGCAAAAGGACAACCCAGTGCCTAACTCTCTCTCTCTTTTAAAGGAACCTCTGCTGTGTGCATGGAGACAGAGCTGTGGGTGAGGCTCAGATATTAGGTAGAGGCTAATTTAAGGCTGCAGCTCCAGATGTGGAAGACATGAAGGGTATGATGTTGGGGAAGGGGGTAATAAGAAAACAGGGATGTACTCATCATTGAGGAAAGGCCTTTGGAGATCATTTAGTCCTGTAGTTTTCAAACTTTTTTTAAAAGCAGTTGGCCTTGCCATAACCAGTTTGGCTCAGTGGATAGAGCTTTGGCCTGTGGAATGAAGGGTCCTAGGTTTGATTCTGGTCAAGGGCATATACCTCGGTTGTGGCACATCCCCAGTAAGGAGTGTGCAGAAGGCAGTTGGTTGATGTTCCTCTCTCATCTATGTTTCTGGCTCTCTATCCCTCTCCCTTCTCTCTGTAAAAAATCAATAAAATATCTATTTTTTAAAAAGCAGTTGGCCTTTTTTTATATATACAAAATTTTTAATGGAACTCCAAGATGAAACTGTTCTGATTAAAATAATAGGAGGAGGAGGATGCAGACATACAATCTACCTTCCAATTCCAGAAGTCACCTATACAGAAATTTGGGGCCTGGGTTTCATTTTGAAAAACCAATGATCTAGTCCAAATCCATGATATTATACATGGAAAAGCTGGTTAGCTGTCCAAGGAACCCACTGAGTCAGTGGCAGCACCAGTGCTAGATCTTAACCCCACTCCCAACCCAGATCTCTCTGCACCCCTTAAACTAGCCCCCTGGCCTTGGGTCCCTAGAGTTCCCTGGGGCCCACCATGGGAATTTTAGACAGAGCTGCTGAAGGAGAATTGCAGGTAGATGATCAGCAGCAGGACCGTGGCCCAAAACAAGCACCAGGGGATAGAGCAAAAATTGGTGCCAGAACCCGTCTCAGCTTGCGATTTGGAGGAACTGGGTGCTGGCTTGAAAGTGTAGATGGTCGCCTCCTCCTCCAGCAGCTTCTGGCTGGGCTTCCAGTGCACGATGCCCTCCTGGCAGGCCTCGCAGAACTCACTGCGGTGCCTCCTGTTGTCTTGGCGGCTGGCCACGTGGATGCGGTAGTGGCCACCACGCTCGCCGTAGCACTGCTCGCGCAGGCTGGTGATGAGGTTGTCCACCAGGCTCTCGATGTTCTCCTCCAGCATGCTGGACTCATCCAGATGAGCCGTGCCACACTCGTAGCAGAGCTGCTTGAAGACGCGCATGCGTACCGAGCCCGCACGCTGGGCCCGGTCCAGGTACATGTGGAAGAGGATGACCACGTGGGGCGACTGCCAGGTGTGCCAGCACCAGGAGCAGTGGAACCTGAGAGGATAGAAGAGAGGTAGGAGGAGAGAAAGGAATGGAAACAGTGGAAACAGCCATAGGAAACTGATGAGGGTCAATAGGCAAAGCATGGAGGCAGTGTGTTTGTGATCCTTTGGGTCATTAGCTTTCCCCAGGTGGCTGCTCAGCCTGCCCCTTTGTGTGTGCTGCTAGGCCCAGAGCACACTCTTTGGATGCACCTGGCATCCAACAACTCTCTGCCAGTCACTCAGGCCCACCTCCGCGGTGCTTTGTGGAGGCCTCAGCTCTCTCCATCCCAAGGCCTTTGGGCCTTGGTTTTGGCACCTTTCCTCCTCTGTAAAACATGCAAGGGCACTAGATGACTAGAGGCACACTTCATCAAATAGGAATCACACGATCTATCCGTACATTCTTACCTGTCAACATTGACTGTGAAAAGGCTAGACCTAAGTCAGGAGAAAATAATATTATTATCACTTCTCAGCCTCCAGCCAGAAACAGATTAATGCATCCCAAGGCCTGGAAGTGCAAGCAATCCTGGCCCAGAATGAGCACACTGGGGCCAGCTGGGATCACAGGTCACCAGACTGGAGGAGCCACAGTCCTCTCCACTTAGCCCCACAAGCATTCCAAGTCTTTGGAGAAGGTCCTGGGCTCTGCCAGGAAGTGTCCAGCCTCTTGTGCCCCCAGAAAATATCCAGCTCTTTGCACCCCTTCCATCAGCCAATTGAGGAACATCACATTTTCATTCTCATCTCTTCTCTTTTACTCATATCTTTGAGGACTTTTTCCCCTATTTCAGATTAGACTACAAAACTTGGATTAGAAAAATGTCAAGACCTTAGAAATCACCCAATTAACTCTCTGTTTTATTCTGAAGCAGAGAGAATAAGAAAGCAATCCACATACATGTAGCTAGTTAGACAAAGAACCAGTACCCTGCACATAGCAGGTGCCCAATGGAAAGTTCTTGAATTGAGTTAAATAGGCTGAACCAGGCCATGAAGAAAGGCCTTGCTTCTGACTCTCAGACTGCTCACTTAGTCTCCCTATTTTATGTCCCAAAGATAAGTTATTATATAATAGACCCATGGACAAGAGTGATGGAAAGTGATCTCGAATATTATTGCACATACCTAGGGGCCTTTATCAAAATGAAGATTCTGATTCAGTAGGTCTAGAATAGGATTCAAGTTCTTCATCTTTAACAGGTTCCAATGTGATTTTGATGCTGCTGGTTCAGGAAGCACAAGACAAGGATCTAGGCTAACCCCTCTTGTAAATGGAAAAGTGAGGTCCAAGATGGCATTTGAGCTGCTCAAGGGCCACAGAGCTAAGAGTAGACCCAGTTTCTATACACTTCTTGTGTTCAGTATTTTATATTAAGTCAAGCTGAATTAAAGAGGTTGAAATAGAATTGTCCCAGGACCCCCAATAGACCTTAAGACCTCCTCCTCTTAACCATTTCAGACTATATCCAAAAGTATGTAAAATGTCAGAGTTTAGAACTAATTAATATGTTCCACCTCTTTTCTAGAAGGGGAAACTTGGGCTTGGAGAAGAAAGGTTACACAGGTGCTCATTGGAAGAATGGGAAACAAATTCAGGTATCTCAACTCCCAGTTAGGGACTCTTTCTCTGCCTCCAGTCTACATGGACCCAAGAGTGAGACTGACTCTTACTTAGTGCCTGGCTTCTCTATATATCTGTTTCTACTGGAAGGTGTCCCAGTGGCTGCCTGCAGGACCCTTAACCTACTCACCTGCCAGAGGCATGCAATTCCAGGTACTGCTTCCAGCCAGGAGCCAGCACATTGTGCTTGAGGTTGGGGTCTATAATGAGATCCCAGCTGTCAGCTGGCTTCGCCACCTCCATCTTCTCATAGAAGGCTTTCTTCCATTCACCTGTGGTCACGCTTTTACACATGGTCTCGTCAGTGGTGAGGGAGGGCAAGCTGCACCTGAGTGAGAACACGGAGAGTGAGGGCAGGTGCAGGGTAGGGCAGCGCAGTCTCCACGGTCTAAAAATCCTCATCTACAGGACCAAAGAAAGCAGGACCTGGCTCCCTCCTTTGTCCGCAATGGAACCTGTTTCCAAGGCAACCCGGCAGGGCCCCAGAGATAGAGCTTGGGGAGAAGGAAGTCTCTGGAAGGATGTTTCAGGGCCCTGAGGCTGCGAATGCAGGATTTGTGTGTCTAAGTCACCCAAGATAGAATAGGGGTCCTGAAAGGGGCTGAGCTTCAGAGCATCTCACTGTGGCCTGCAAAGGGCATGCAGAGATGAGGACCTGTGAGCCAGCTCAGCTTCACCTTGCTGTCCCTGGAGACATCATCAGCATATGGCTGCTATGGTAACCATGATGCCTTAGGGAGACTAAGAGAAATAAGGGATGAGAAGATTAAACCTGTTAATAGATGCAGCAATAATAATAAACTCTCTCTATACCTCCATCCATCCTGTGACCAAGACTTTGCCATTTATAAAAATTAGTGGAGGTAACTTGACCCACAGTTTTTATTGCTGCTGTACAGATTGGGATCCTGGGCCTTACCTAGCTTATACTTGGTAGAGCTCCTATCCAAATCCAAGTAATTAAGCCCCTACAACTGTATTAATTTATTCATTTTAAACATACCCATGTGGCAGGCTCTCAGCCAGGTGTTTGTAATTGAGTATGTATTCACTAACCAGAATGCAACAGGATCTGTGCTATGACAACATTTACAAGAGCAGCCCTGTGCACACAGGTGGGAGCCATTGCATCAGCGGGGCGTAGTGGAAAAGAGGATTTTCAACTTCACTATAGAAGGAGGAACACAATATCCACAGAAAAAGCAGCCTTTACTATAGGTGCCCCTCCTGCTAGTTTCCAATAAATTATTTTTCCTTTATAAAAGTCATACAGGTTTATTCTAGAAAAAATTGGAAAATAAAGATAAAATAAGGCAAAAGTGAGACTCTTCCTAATACCCATATTAAAGATTATCAACATTAACATTTATGATATAAACACCTTGCCATTGTCTGTACATGTATATGTGTATGCAGGTATGTGTATATAATATATATACACACATTGTACATATCACGTACCACACTGTGATCTATTTTTTAAAATAACAATATATCATGAGTATTTTTCTAGGTCTTTAATAGTATTCTATCTTGTAGGCTACCTAAGTTCTGTTATGTAATTGAGCATAACTTGTCTAGCCAGTCCTCTATTTGGGGGCATACATTATATTAATCTCTCACAATTACACTCTTGCTACCTATTTGTATAAAACTCACTGACAAAGCTTATAGACCTCGCATTCCAGGAATCAGAAACAATGCTTTCTGCAGCCAAAATACACATCCCTTTACTTTCTGTAAAAGCTTTCTGTGGCTAGAAGAATCTGAGCAGACTCTTCAAACAGTATGACTATGGACAGCCCTTAGGTCCTGAAGTTTAGTGATGGGTTTAATCTCCCATCTGGTACTGAAGATTATCTTCCAAATGCTCACCCTATCTTTGTATGAATGCTTGACTCCTTGATGTCCTTTATTTTAGCCTTAGCTTATTCTTCTTAGCAATGGGTAAGTAGGAAATGGTAACTATAGTGATTAAAAGCGGGAGCTCGGGAATTACTTGCCTGGGGGATATTTTGAGGGGAGGAAGTTTTTTGTTTTGTTTTGTTTGTAATTCCCTTATATCTTGCTAGGTAGATATACTAATATATGCAACTAGAGGTTCAGAGTCCCTCAGACCTGCGTGCACCCTCTCCAATCTGGGACCTTTCAAGGAATGTCTGACTGCCTGTTTAGACTTAATCCTCCCATACAGGCTGTCAGACATCCTTCTTACAATCCAGTACTGCTGGCTCCCAACTGTTCGCCTGCCTACCTTCCTGATTGCCCCTAACTGCTTCTTCCTGCCAGCCTGATCACCACCTAACCACTCTCCTGCCAGCCTGATTGATGTCTAACTGATCCCCTGCCAGCCTGTTTGCCCCCAGCTTCTCTCCTCTGCTGGCCTGGTCACCCCTAACTACCCTCCCCTGCAGGCTTAATCGCCTCCAACTGCCCTCCCTTGCAGGCCTGGTCCCTCCCAATAGCCCTCTCCTGCTGACTATCTTGAGGTAGCCATCTTGTGTCTACATGGGGGCAGGATCTTTGACCACATGGGGACAGCCATTTTGTGTGTTGGAGTGATGGTCCATCTGCATATTACTCTTTTATTAGATAGGATAGAGGCTTGGTGCATGGGTGGGGGCAGCTGGTTTGCCCTGAAGGGTGTCGTGACCCACAGGTTGAGAACTGCTAGCAGGGTCGCCTAAGACCATTGGAAAACACAAATATTTACATTACGATTCATTAATAGTAGCAAAATTACAGTTATGAAGTAGCAAAAAAAAATAATAATTTTATGGCCGAAACTGGTTTGGCTCAGTGGATAGAGTGTCAGCTTGCAGACTGAAGAGTCCCAGTTTTGATTCCGGTCAAGGGCATGTACCTTGGTTGTGGGCACATCCCCAGTAGGGGGTGTGCAAGAGGCAGCTGATCAATGACTCTCTCTCATCGATGTTTCTAACTATTTCTCTCCCTTCCTCTCTGTAAAAAAGTCAATAAAATATATATTTAAAAATAATAATAGTAATAATAATTTTATGGTTAGGGGTCTCCACAACATGAGGAAGTGTATTAAAGGGTCGTGGCATTAGAAAGGTTGAGAACCACTGCTCTAGAGTTAGGTAATAAGTTGCAACTCCATTTTGCACATATGTAAGTTAAGGAGAAAGGTTAGATAACTTGCCCAAAATTCCACAGCTAATAGTTAATGGAACTGGGATTTGAAACTACATGACTATCTCCAAAGCTCCAGCTTAATTACTGCACTGCCCGCATGGAATCTAAAAACATTTTTTAAATAAATGTCTTTCTACTTTCTCATCAGCTGAATATGGTCATTTCATTCATACTCTGAGAACTGAAATTCATATTTATTCAGCAACTGGTTCACTAGGCCACACTGAGGCCACAGCCCCCAGGAAGAGGATGAGGGATATTTGACTAGCCAGGCTCCCTGTTCCTACTAAAAGACCACCTCTGCTGCTGAACCTATGAAGCAACAGGTCCACGAATTCCTGATGTCCAGTGTAAATATTTTAGAGCTGAAAGAAAAATTCAATGTGAAATATTACCAAAGAAAATATAGTGCATAACTTACTTATATTTTAGCTTCACAGAATGTCCAGGTTTTCCCCATAGAAGAACTACAAAGTCTTTGCTGTTCATGATTACTGTCTTAATATTCTCTACAAATTACTGTTATTTGTGGAAACTTCTAAAAAAAAAAAAGTAACAAAGACAAAAGAATTATGTCAGTGATAAAGAGGTTAACTTACAAATTTGAAACTACGTGTAACTTGGAAATTGTTAGGAGGAAAAAGGCTAAATCAAAGGTTAAACAACAAAAAATATTATATGTGGTAAAGTATTATAATTTATATACATGTACATACCAATAAAGTTATAAATACAACATTTCTGATGGAAATAAAATTTTACAAAAAAAGAAAATATAGTGCCTAAAGCTATTGCTATGTACACCATTCCTGCAAAGCCATAATCATTTGATGGCAGGTGCCCTGGTTCAAAGGAAAGTGCACTGAACTGGAAGTCAAGATACATCCTATATAATAGAAGGTTAATATGCAAATCGTCCAAACAGCAGAATGACTGGTCACTATGATGTACACTGACACCAGGGCACAGATGCTCAATTCAGGAGCTGTACCCTGGTGGTCAGTGTGCTCCCACAGGGGGAGCGCCACTCAGCCAGAAGCAGGGCTCACTGCTGGTGAGTTCAGAGGTGATGGCGTGAGTCTCTTCCACCTACATGGCAATTGCCTTCCCCCCAAAACTCCCAGACTATGAGAGGGCACAGGCCACACACACAAAGTGCATGAATTTCATATACCGGTGCATTTGTAAATATATATATTCAGCTCTAATACTGGCTGGCTCAGTGACCTTCAGCAAGTTGTTTCTTTTGGCCTCAGTTTGTCCATTGGTTCAATGAAAAATTAGAGTGGATGGTAATGCTGAGGTACCCTCTAACTGTGGCTATATGTGGATTGAAAGAGCTTTATACTTAGAAACTGGAATCCTTTGAGGCAGAAGGTAGGATGGAAGCCACTGGATGGAGGGCAGCACAGCATTGTAGGCAGTGCCTGGAGTCGGGATCTATCTCCTTGGGGGCTGTTACATAGTTAAAAAGTGGAGAAGTGTCACTTTATTAGCTTTATACTGGACACAGTAAGTCAGACAGAAATTAAATCAGAACCACTGGCCTGGCTGATGTGTCTTAGTTGGTTGGGCATCGTCCCATGCACCAGGAGGTCTCCAATTCTATTCCTGGTCAGGACACATGCCCAGTTTTGGGCCCAATTCCCAGGAGGGGGTGTGTAGGAGGCATCCAATCTATGTTTCTTTCTCTTTCATATTTCTATCTCTCTCACATCTCCCTTTCTCTCTCTGAAATCAATAAAAACATATTTTTTTTTTAATCAGAGCTATTGAATGCTAACACTGGAAAGGATTTTAAGTTCATTAAATTTTTTAGTCTTCAAGTCAGTATTCTTGCCTCTGAATTAAGGCAGAGCCCACAGAAATAAAGTGACTTAATCAGCCTCAGAAGTATGATGGGAGAGTCTCAGGTTGCAGCCATGGGCCATGGTGAGAATGGAGGCTGAGGACATTCCCAGAAAGTGTGTGAAGCTGAGAGAAGATCTTGTCCTGGAGCTAGAGTGTATTACCCAGCACCAGGAACAAATTCTCTAGAAGTATTTCGCATCTGTTGCTACAATAAACATTATGATGAAAAACAAGAACACTGAAAGCAAGAATCGCCAGGGTTGTGTGTGTGCAACCAACTGATGCAATCCCCATTGGCACAAATTAAGCTTAGAGCCTGAGCTTGCTATGCAGAGGCCAATGTAATGCATCCTTCTATATAGCAGAATGTTTTATCTAATAAAATAATTTTTCTA